AAGTATTCCCATTATCATTAATTATAACTGTCTATTTTAGTAGTAAATTGAACAGAATCTCCATCTTGATGATTATGATTAAACCTATGAAATATTGTAAATGTTGAGCATGCAGCTTGTTGATTTTTGTCCACCAGTCAAACTAAAATATAAATACAACTCTAAATATTGAAACAATGAATGAATAAGGAATTTGTGATAACTTTAATGATAGATTTACTATCTATAATACCAATTTTTAGTAAATAGAATGACATAAATACTACTAAAATCCTCAAAAGTCTCTTATATAGTCTAAATGATCAAACGACAATTAGATGTTAAATTATATAACTTATATTTAAAAAAATTAATCTGCTAAAAATTGACAAAAGTTTTAAGTAGATAAACTTTTCCCTAAGAAAAAGAAATTAAATAGTTCTGTTTTTAAATTAAAAAATGAAATTATGCAATTAATTTATATGTTTTTTCTTAATTCTGTTTTAATTTATACACAAATTAAATTTACATATAAATAAACTTACTTTTATTTCTCTTGTAATTAGGGACAAAAATTATAAGAAAAAGTCAAATTTGTGTTTGTCACTTCTCATAATGCTCACAGACTCATCCATCTTATCATCCACAACGGGGAGAATTGAAATCCATAATCCATTGGGCCGACAAAGATCTGAGAGTCGTTGCTACTCACGCAAATCGACATGGTCAACGCATAAAAAAATATATGTCTGATGGTACCTTCTCCATGTGCAACTCAGGCATTTATATCAACTTCAGATATATCTCGAATTATGCATTAAAGTTACAAGAAACTCTTAGGTGTAATATCAAAGAAGAAAAAAAAACAACAACAATAAAGGAAATAAGCATTAAAAATAAAATTTCACAAATCTTCCTCAAAAGAAGTATAAACTTTCTTTAGATAGAAGAATATCTTAAATACTTAATATTAATTCCCTTGTTATCTTCTTAGTCATATTAAATAAAAATTAATGAAAGAAGAAAAAATGTCAAATGGAGAAAATGTAAAGTATTATTTATGTTTCCTTAATATACATTTATTTTTCAACCAATACCTTTCTAAATATTAAATTAAAATAAATATATAATTTTATCTTGTTTCTATAACTATATAATTTTATTTTACCTACTTTTTTACAACTATATGATTTTATCCTAAAAGTGACTAATTTTGTTACTTTTTACCAAAAATATAAAAATTTGTCAAAAAAAAGGGATAAATTTGGTATATGTTAACTTCAGCGGGGAAACAAAATTTTAAACTTAAGGCCAATTTGAAATATAAAGATCAAAGCAACTAGCATCGAATATGTATTCATTCATATTTAAAATATATTTGAGACAGTTTGTCAAATAAATATAATTTTTAAATGAAAATATGTGCAAAAAATAATAATAAATACCTACCACGTGTTAAACTTAAAATTAATCAATATTTATGTTTTTTTAATTTTCACTTAGGTCACCCTCATTTCCTAAAAATACATCTCCACAATTCAAGATGTAAACTATATGATATTATGTTTTAAATAGATTGGTATCTATTTAATAGGATTCTGAAGATTGGGCCACTACTGCCAAATACTAATTAATATATCGGATTCAGACTGACCAGAAATGAATCCAGACGCATTGATATCAACAAGAAGAACAAATTAAAAAAAAAAAAAATTAAATATACGAAAAAGTCAGAGGGTGGTTACGTGTGTACTAATCTTTAGAATGCCATTGCAATTTTAGAAAAATAAAAAATAAAGGTGAGATCTGTCAAACGGTTTAGATTATTGCAAGTCAGTTCGTCTCATCTCAAAATAAATTGATCCGTTTTTCATCTAAAAGAAGGATGAATACAAAATTTGGATACCACAGTCGAATTTTTTAATTATTTTATTTGATTCAATAATTTTACTTATTTCATTGGGTTAAGTTGTATTAATTGAATTATGAATTTTAAAAAATATTTTTTTATAGATTTTTTTAATTTTATGAATTTTTTTAAATAGATTAAATTATTATTATTTGAATAATTTAATATATTAAAACTATATATTTATTTAATATAATAATTAAATATAGTATTATTATTATTAATATTAAAATTAATTAATAATTTTGATCTAGTTAATTAAGTAGATATTAAATTGAGTGTACAAAACGTTATCTAATTCGTAAGAAATTGATTTCCATCAAATTTGTTATAATTATAAATAAAATCTAACAATTAGATTTCGTAAGAGATTGAATTCAATCAAATTTTGATTAATCATAACTAGAATCCACCTTAATTGGGTTGCGTTGTTGGGTAACCAAACCAAATCCAAGGATATAATCGATAATGTATATAAAGGAGATTCATTTTTCTTACAATCGTTTTGGTAGTGGATACAGGAAAAAATTAATTATTATAATTTATTACAATTAAAAAAATTAATAGAAGGAGAATAAAGAGAGAGAAAAAAGTGTGATAAGATGTTAAAAAATTAAAGAAAAATATTATAAAATAAATTAGTGATTTAGAAAATGCATGGACAGAAATGGATGACGTTGCTTTGTCATTCATGCATTCATTGATGTTGTTAATTAGCATAATAAGATCGCATAATGAATTAAATCATAAACAGGAAAAAGGGTTAAAAGGAATTGGGGATGGTACCAGCCAGTGATCCAGGAAGCAAAAGGGGCCCATCTGGGCCCGGCAAGCTTGGCACTCCAATAGTAAAGCCCACCAGAAGTGGGATAGGATGAGCAAATCTCAGCCATAGAAAGCGCAACGATCATGGTGAAAGCAGAGGCAACGAACCACCCATACACGAAGGAAACAGGGCCACCGTAGTTCAACCCGGTGTTGTAAAGAGTGGTGACTCCGGTCAACACCGAAATAATAGAAAACGAGAACGCAAAATTCGAAATCACCCTGCCATAGTTGAAAGCAATTAACAGAAAACAAAGATGAGTGAATAAATGGAAGGAAGAGAGATTAGAGAAGAAAAGTATACGAAAGGTCACGCTTGAGTTCTTGTTTGTAACCGAGTTCTTTGAGACGAGCATGGCCAGAATCCAGTGCAGCGTGTCCACTTGCGAGCATATGAGAAGGGAGTATTCTGTCAGAGCCCATTATGATTGTGGAAGCAATCACAAACTCTTCCCTAGTCAATGGAGGCACCTTCAGAGAGAAGAAGAAAATGGGAATAACTAACACATATATAGCGAAATAACTTGTCCTTTTTCTATTTCTCTTTTGTTTCTATTTAATAACTTATTTATTTTATACTGTATAAATAATTTACATTTATAATTATTATATCAATACAAAGATAAAATAAAATAAGAAACAATATAATAAAAAAAATAATGTTATATAGAAAAAAATATTAAAAGCCTAAAAGACTTAGATATCAAAAGCAAAATATATAAAAAAAATTGAGAAAAAAAAGTAAACACTCGTTTAATCTAACCAACTAACTCCATGATGAAGCCTTGGTTTAATTTGATTATTAGTTAACCTTTTATAAAATTATAGGTGGGCGAGTCGTATTCATTTTACAACCTTTTACATCCATTAAACAATCAATTAAATTAATATAATAATATTATTTAATATAATATTAATATTTATAATTGTAAGTAGGTTGTCTGGACAATAATATATCACCTCTCAAATAGATATTCGGTGAGTCTAGATTCTTAACAAGGATTTGTTTTATCAGGAGAATCAAATAACTAAACAAATTATGATTAAAAAAATTCATTCAATTAGTAAATGAATTGGTTAACATGTTAGGAGAAATATTTTATAACCTGATCATAGTTATTTCCACGATGTTGACATTGAAAAGCATTTTTTAATATAAATATATACTATAATGATTAAAAGTAAATAAAAAGGAAAAATAACAAAAATAAAATCTAATTCCTTAAACTAAAGCTATTGAATATATATATATATATATATATATATATATATATATATATATATATATATATATATATATATATATATATATATATATATATTGTTACCGCTCACATATGAAAAAGGTCAAATGAAGAAAGTTAAAAAACTGGAGTTTAGAAGTGAAAGAACGAACCAATTACGCAAAACCTTTTTGCCACTTCGGAATGGTCAAATATAGCGGTTTGGCTTGCAACGTGACAAAAATGATTTAAAAATAAAAACGTTATTTTAATAGAGATTCCACGTATATAAATTCTATATTAAAATAATATTATTTATAAACACCCTTCTTATACTCTAATATAATCTTTATCGTGTTCAAGACTCGCCTCCAGTATTTTTAACGTGAATATTTTTACACAGGTTTAACTTAAAATAATTCATTAAATTAATCATATTAATATTTCTAAATACTGCCAAATACTAATTAATATATATGAGATTTAGAAGAGCACCAAGGAGTAGCCGATACAGAACACCGAAGACCGACCAGAAATGAATCCAGAAACATTCGTAGGAACAAAAAAGGTCATTGGTAGGCACATCTGTGGGTGATGTTTAGAAGACAATTGCAGAATTAAAAAGAGAAGGTGAGAAGAAGAAAGAGAGAGAGATGTGAACTACATTAATGATACTAATAATGGAACTGCAGATGATGTGGCTTCATAAATGTTAATAACTTATCGAATTTTATATAATTATTTTGAGTAACGTACGTGGACAAAGAAAAATAAAATAACACTGACCACAATCAAACAATAAAATTAAAAAAATGAAAAATAGTTACATGTAAATAAATAATAATAATAATAATAATAATAATAATAATAATAATAATAATAAAATAAGAATATTGAGAGTAATCAGTTTAGTAAACTTAAAAGTGCAAGAAATTTTTTTGTAAAAAATGTCATTTATTACAACTCATTTTTATGAATTCAATAACGATAGTCATTACTTATTTACTTGTACATGATAGATGAAAGTCAACGATTTTAGAAAGGCATCATGAGAATGAACAAGTTCATTTTTGAAGATTGTTTATAGGGCCTTTGAACCAACGGTTTGCAGTGAGTATCCAGTAGGCAACTACAAGAACAACCAAACATCCAACGGCAATAGGAGTGTAGTTAAATGTTTTGATGGTTATTGGGTACGAAACAGGCAATGAGAACAGTACACAGATTGTCACCACCCATAAAACTGCAGCCCAGCCCACAATGATTGCGTAACGGCCCAAGTTGAAAGGCCCAGGGACAAAATGCTTTTGGGCCAAGGTCACCCTGAAGAAAATAGGTAGGGCATAGGCAATGTGGAGGGAAATCACTGCTATAGACACCATTGCTTCAAATGCCACTATGCTTCCTATGGACTGCAGTAGAATTTTAACTTGTCATTAAATGATACTGTAAAATATGAAGGATTATACTTTCAAATAACACACTTGTCTCTCTAATATATTAATCATCCTATTAGGGATTTTTCTTTCTTCTTTTCTCATCTGTGTCTTTGTTATCTCAAATTTAAATACATACCGTTAATGCCATGCAAAATGATATAAAGACAGAAAGCCAAACTGCATATAAAGGAACCTCCTGTCTGTTAACTTGATGCCACAGTGGTGAGAATGGCATGGCCCCATCTCTAGAGAAAGCATAAGCCATCCTGAAGAAGTGTAACTGGAAATATTAAATCCCTCTCATGGAAAGCAAACTAAGGGTTGGCATGCTTACCTTGAATTGGTGGTAACTGAACTCATACCACAGAAAAATATGGCAACAGCAACAATTACTAGGCAAATAATACCACCAGTGCCATTGCCATATCTTTTCTTGAATGCTAGATAAAACACTTCAGCAATAGCATACCCACCAGCGTCATTATCTTCACTCAAAAGGTAGTGGATGTCAGTGACTGCAAAAGTAATGCCTAGTATGTAACCCCATCCAACTATAATGGATATCCCAACAGAACAGATAATTCCTTTTGGTCCATTTCTATCAGCACCCTTTGTTTCCTCTGTCTGTAAATGCAAGTTTGTAGTAAACTCAAAGTCTTGGTCTAAATCGATTCAGAGTAAACAGTAAGTATATTGACTTATTAAGAGTAATAATTGTAATGAAAATCATATCAATAATGATTTTTAATTAAAACATTAAACTTGTCATTTCGTAACATCTCTATCAATGGAAATGAACAGCACAAAATTTACAAAGTGGAAAGCAAGAGCAAGGGTATACGTACTGAAAAGGAAATTTTCTAAAAACTTTCCACATGAGTTGATGCATTATGTGGGAAGGAAGAAAAAGAGTAGAACAGATGTACCATATGAGCTGATGCATCATACCCACTAAGGGTATACTGAGTCATTAGAAGTCCCAATAGAAATATGTAGGGTCTGCTGTTGATTCCATTGTCGTTTTCAGCATTGAAATGAGTGAAAACAAACTTGAAACTAGCCCTTTCGGTTGCAACAGATGGAATGAGAATCATAAGCACAAAAACGCCTGAAACGTTCTCAATTCAATTAGATATTCAAGAAGGCTTACCTAGAGAACAGAATTAAGGAAGAAAAATCAAATACAAAACTTTTTCATACCTAAAACATTCCAGATAGCACCCAACTTTCCTAAGAATGATATTACCGAGATAGGAAGACTGTTTATTATACCGTGGAGGAGCAATATTCCCCCATGAAGAGCAATAACTACATATTTGGATGCCTCATATCCACCACCATTTTTGCCACCGGTGCTAAGGAGAATGATAACCTGGATTAGTTGTGCAAGTGAAAAATCCACACTAGTTGTACCTGCCCACTGCAAATGAAAAGGAATGAAAATTAGACCTTCAAATGGATTATTAGCATTCTCTATCTTACACAAGTTTGACCACTTAGTGAAAAAATGGAGGATGTTAAAAATTCATGAAGATGTGGCTTCTCACCTGGCCCATAATATTGAACCTGCATTAAATTAGAAACATGCAACATGCGTCAGAGAATGTCCTTGTGCTTTGTGATTACTTTCATCAAGCTATAGAGAGCAGCATAATTTATATATTTCAACCAAGCTGTTCATAAGAAATATTGCATCCTCGTGAAGAGCATTTTCAAAAACCTGCTTGAACATTGTTCACTATATAATTGAGAGGTAAAGACAAGGGGAACAAATCCTTTGAAGTTAGGTGATCTGACATTAATTAACATCGTCAATTTTAAGAGAACTAAACAAAAATTCCATATTTTACCTTATTTATGAGATTATGCTACTGAATAATGAAATATGTCAAGTATGAGGTCATATAAAATTTAAAATTGTATGCTCTTACTATAATTATAGATACTTGTCATGCAAAGACATGGCCTCATCATTGAATTTCATACATTGAGACTGTTGCTGTAAAATCGAAAAAAGATTATTTATTTTTGAGAAACTAAAAACAAAAGTTATCTATTTTGAAGTGCTAAAAACTTGCTTAATCTTTTGAAAAGAGCCTCTTCCAAATCAAATAAAAACATAGGATATAAATCCTAATAAGTGAATTAAAAAATGAAAATAGACAGTACTTGATAACATGAATTGGGATTCAATACCAGCCAGTAATCCAGGAAGCAAAGGGTGCCCATCTAGGGCCAGCAAGTTTAGCACTCCAATAGTAGAGACCACCAGTGGTTGGATAAGATGAACAAATTTCAGCCATTGACAGGGCAACAAGCATGGTGAAAGCAGAAGCCATAAACCACCCATATTGCATTGAAACGGGCCCACCATAGTTCAACCCAGTGTTGTAAAGGGTGGTGACACCAGTGAGCACCGATATAAGTGAAAACGAGAGGGAGAAATTTGAAATGGCCCTGCAAACACATTATTAGAAATGAAAAACCAACAAAAGTGAAGGGAAGAATTAAACGAGAAAACCTTACGAAAGTCCACGCTTGAGTTCTTGTTTGTAACCAAGTTCAAGAAGACGGGCATGTCCAGAATCAAGTGAAGAAGAATCACAGTCTGGAAGTGCAACCACACGAGATGAAAGTGTCCCGTTTTCCGCAGAAGAATCCATGATATTGCAGCAAAGAAACACAGAAGCAAAGAGCAAATGGTTGGTTTTTGTCAAGTAGAGTTAACTTTTAATAATTTTGAAGATAATCAATCTTTTTTAATGCTTATATCTCAACAAAAACATTGACGTACTAGATAGCTATATCGTAATAATTTTTATGTGTCTTCATTGACTATTTATGCTCTCTGGGCAAAGCATTTCAAACTTCTGATGATTGTTTTCTTATGGAAAATTTTTTATAGTTCACTCGAATGTAAAAAATGTTTGACATCGTATTAGAATAATAAAAATCTTACTATGTTCTTGACTTCATTAATATTTTACAAAAAACTATTTTGAATTGTCTTTGGTGGAAGAGTACATTGGAGAAGTGAGACTGATTGCATCACATTTGTTAATAAACATTCAATTTTCACACAACCATGTCTTTTTGCTGAAAGAGAGTATCCTCTGCCTCTTCCTAGTTGAGTTTTTTCTTAGAAGTGGAGTTTCTTTTACTTTCTTCTGGTGTCATGTGGCAATCTCCTTTAAAACCCTTCGACTTACTAATTATCTATTTTTGTCAAATTATAAAAAAAATATATTATATAACTAAATAGCTTTATGTGTGTTGAGAGTATTACTTGTAAAGAATATTTTTGTTTAATTTTATATTATAATATATCAAATAAAATATATTGGAATTTATTATACATCATTTTTATTTTATTATTAATATTCAATTTTAATTTTGATATTATATTTTTATTATTTTATACTCATTATATGTAAAAGTTATGATTTTTTTTAAATTATTTTAAATAATAACTATAATATATTGTAATATAATAAGAAAGTTAATACATAAAATAATTATATGTATTTAATAAAATATTACTATATAAAAATATATAAAAATACAAAACTGAATATTTATAATATAATACATTATTTATTATTATTATTATTATTAGAGTCTCTTATGAGCAACTATATCATAAAATAATATAAATATAAGCACTATGTTTTTAAAATTTTAATAAATGAACGACAATTTTTTTAATAATTTAACACTATTACGTTATTGTGTTGTTGTGATAGACAAATGGAGAGCAAATATTATTTTGTAGAACTTGTTATAAAATTAATATCTATTTTCTATAATATCAAATTAAATTGAAAGGAAATCTTGATCAAATTAAAGACTAAGTTAATAATTAGGTTTTTGTATTTTTATACTTTGGTTCAATTTCTCTTGCACATTGTTAGTAATTTTCTCTATGTTTTTTGTAAGGTTGTGGGAAGTAGTTATATTATTATAATGACTTTAAGCACCTATATTTTTACTACGGGTGAATGGGGAATTTATACTAAATGTTTTGATTAGTAAACATTTTTTTTAAGTATAGATAGATAATGGTTTTCTTTTTGTGTCACGTCATGCTTTAAAATGTACGATACTTAATTTATTGTTTTAGAAACAAATAACTGGTGACAAATTAAGAAGTCATGTTTAAGGTTTTCGATCGGAATTCAAATGATGAATAGCCAAACTATTTGTGTAACAATGAATCATAATTTATATAAAATGTTAAGATTCATAAATAATAATGAATAATTACTACAAGAATTAATCATGTGAATAAAAGTGCTGGAAGGAGAAGACACCCTCTAACAAGATTTTAATGATTTAACTCTGTGCAAATCCATGTTAGCTTTTATTTTATTAAAATCATATATTAGATAATATTATTATTAATACAAGGGAATATTTTCTATGTATACTTCTTTTTTTGTAGAGAATTAACTCATTATACTAAAAATTAAAATATTGTTGAAATGTAATTTTATATTAAACATTGGAGAAGCAAACAGTATTTTTATTATTATTTTTTATTTATATCTACTATTTAAAATAGGATTAAAACTATAAAAGGTGACAATGAGTTAAACAAAAGACAAAGATAATATGTTAAACTTTATAATACAACAATATAAAGCATACTTATATCAAACTACATATATAATTTATCCAACTGTATGTGTAGTAAAAGCAAAAAGACGATTTATGAAAGCTAAGATAACATCCTCTAGAAAAGTGACACATAAGACACTCAGAAATAAGTTTAGAAGAAGAAACCTATATTAAATTTTCTCGACCATTTTGAGTAGAGGAGTTCTAGATTTTGTTCCCTTTCCTTGTATTGTAAAATAGTGTACAGTGTATACTTCAATCTTGTGGAAATAAAAGATAACTAACAAGACATTCCAAATTTCCAATTTAACAACCATCTTAACTTTAAAACAAAGTAAATGAATAGATTGATATCATTTAAACCGCCAACGGTGCTAAAGTGGTTTATCTGCAATGAAACTCACGAAGCCTATAATTTTTACAGAGTATGGACATGTTGGTGATGTTTCCTAAGTCTTTACGGCAGTCAATTTGTTCTGACATTTTGGGATGCACCTAACATGGGGCTTGAATCCCAGCTATTGCCTCGTGTATCTGCATCATGTTGAGGTGGGATGTACAAAGATACAGCCTGAAGCTCAGCAGATTGCACATGATGAATATCATTATTCACGGTAGGGGGCTGAGCACCATTACGAGATTCAGCTAACATCTGGAAATATGCATGAGGTCCCCAACCTACATATACAGTAATATAAAATAATACACACATGAAAATTGTGATTGGATGATTTTTCTTCAATATCTGAACTAGAATTCCTAAAAGATAATCAGCCTGGGCATTTTGTTGAAAATTCACAGTCCACAGGATTGTCCAGCCAAATTTTTTATTGAATTAGAGCCTAAGTTTGGAACTATGGCCAAACTAAACAAAACTAAAATTTAAGGGAATAATTGTAACTATTACAAAGGATTTTTTGAAAAAACAAATTTAGACACTACACATGGAAAAGTTGTATAAGAGATCTTTTGCATATTGAACACATTGGTAAATTAAGCGTATTTACAAGTAAAATATGTGTTTTCTAAATTTAGATCAGACCCAGATTTTTATCAAGCCTGAGTCTGGCTAAATTAACACGATTTGGGCGTGGAAAGGATTCAAAGCAAATTATCACAACAACAATATCGACACATACTGTGACAAGATGATGAAAGGAACAATTCATGGTCTTACCATCTAGGTCGTAAGGAGGTGGATAGAATTGTAAGTAACAAAAGGAAGCAATTGTCGTCCCTGGTAAAGGAGAAATTATCAGAAACTTTGCAAAAGGGTTTATTGAAATATGTAATCAATATGGAATCGATATACAAACCTATAAGACCTCCAGCAAACACATCTTGCCAATGATGCCAATAATCATCAACACGAGAGACAGCAATCATAGCTGCCACGAGGATTGGTAAGAAAACAAGACACAGCTTTGCAATATGGCCCCTGCGGTCAAATACTCTAATTTTGCCAGATAGATACCAGGAAAGATAAACAAGACCAGCAAAGGACCCTGCATACAAAAGAAACAGGTCATTCCCAAGACACGGACGATACAATAATGCATATGCTACCCGAATCATATCTTTTTTGCAATGAAAAAAGGCAAATTCAAAAGGTTGAGAAACTAAGACATGTGATATATTTTTCCTAATTGGTTAATTTCCTGTTTACAAGAATATGGAAGGAAATGATGAATAAAAACTGAAAACAACCAAATCTTCTTATCACTATTTCCAAGTCCAACATCTCGGAAACAAAAAACTACAAGAAAACAAAGTAGTATCTTTTGCAATTATGAAATGAAAATAAAAATATGCAATCAATCTTTAACATGGTAGAATTCTTTTGTTTATATCTTTAACAAAGTAGTATATTTGTAGCCGTTGAAAATTTCTACAAAAATGAAACCAAAGGCGACCTGAATAGTCCAAAACAGGCCAAATACCTCGACCTCTAGAAAGAAATATGATTAATAAAGGGTGTACAAGCTTTTTTTCTGCAGGGATGATAAAAGCTTCTTCTCTCACTGAAATATCACCTGTCTCAAACACACAGTTGAGATTGTAAAAACTACTTACAAGAGGTATGTCCACTGGGGAAACTTTTATGTCCTTCCTTAATAACACCCTTATCTCCAGTACACTGAACATTGCTTGTTACTGGATCAAACACCTGAACACATCATGCACCAATGGGGCGTTTATTGAATAGTTAACTACATAAAATCAGTACGTATCACATTGTAATGACACTAAAAAGACTATCTAGGTGGTCAATAAAATTGAAAACCCACCCCTTTTCCATCTGGGAAACAACGCCAGAAGAAATCTGGCCTTGGCCGTCCAACACCATCCTTGATAGCATCAGTTATCACCGCAGTAATGAGTACAGAAAATAGAAGGCCTAAGATGCATTTGGTAAAAGGGTTCAGTAAACGTGACGTGCAAATAAGGATAGAAAAAAAAAAAAAAAAAAAAACTTACAAGGTCCAGAAATGTACCCAATATAGCATGGTGGAAGTCATAGACATCCTTTCGAATGAAATAGTAAACGAGAAAAACAGCCAGTGGTAACAGTATCGCTATTATCTGTTCAGGAATTGTAATTCAAAAACTTATATCTTGAATATTAACCAAGGTAAGGATAAACATAACATATATTCTCAGTAATGGAATAAACTTCTTTGGACGTAATCAAGGAAGCTAAATATACCGGAACAGCCCAGAAGGGAATAGTATTATCTTTCAATGGGTATCTAAGGTCTGTCATCATCCCTTCTCCAACGAAACGGTGAAATGGCTCTATTATATTCAAGACAGCGTCGATGATCACAAGAAGCAAAAGAATCAACCAGTCGTGCATATGTATCCTTGCCACTCTTGTTCCATGTGATCTGATAGTATGCATACCCAACTGAATTTCTGGCATTTTTTTCTGCAAACGAGCCACGGGAAGCTTAGCAGGACTTGTGTTAAAAATTAAAGTACCAAAACAAGGACAGCAAGCGCAAAAACAGAAGAGGGTAGAACAAATAAACAGGAAACAGTGATAAATAAACATATATCAGCTGTTATAAAGTGACCTAACAAAACGGAATATTGGTGGGATTAGATCCTAGCAAAACAAAAAACAGCATCCAAGCCTTTTACGATCAACCAGCAACGTAATGCACAGCCAAATAATATTTATAGAAAAACCAATAACCTCCAAATCCTTCTCAACTATTTCACGTATAGTTTTTTCTTTCTCTGTCTACCTATGCTTCTAGCTACTAGGCTACCTTATATCTGATCTATTTTCCTAATATTACATTACTGGTGCATTGGCCCAAGAGGAAACAAAATTTTCACTCAACCCAAATACTCCGTAAAACCATGTCATTTAGAGACTGAAGATATTTTCTCTTTCACTCAACCCCCCATCGGACCCCATTTTCCAAAAGGTTGCAGGAACCTCAGTTTCAGAGTTGCAGTTTCATTTCATAGGCTGTGTTTGAATTATAGTTAAATTCCCTTCAACGGCAAAGCAATGTGACGATGAAGTTACGCTTAACATGCTTTGGCATAATTAACTGAAACAAATGCACATAGTATTTCTGGTACCAGCGACGATTATGACGTTAAGGTATTGCTTTATTGTTACTTTGTTAGTGGTATGTAATATTATGCCTCGTATTAATGTTCCATAAATATGCAATCACGAGACCTGGATTGCCTGTGTAGTCAGTTTGACACAGTTAATCCTGGAGTCATTATCAAGTTGAAAGCAAAAAAAATAAAGGTTAACAAAAATTCTACTCCCTCTCACTGCAGAGGATTCTTTTGTGTAATCACGTATCCTGGCTGTTGCCTATATCGTTATGTCCTAGGATCTTATTATGTGTATTGTTTCAGCAATGTACTATTTACGCAATTTGATCATGCTTAGTTCTGTAGCTTATTTGTGGGTTTTTCAACTGTTTTCCCACAATAACGGAGTACGCGTGTACATAACATTTCAACAGGTATGATGTAAAACCGGATTCAATCGTATGGTCCTAGATTTATACACTCATAGGCAAGATACATGCTATTAAACCTTATTAAAATCTGATCCTCAAGCATCTCGCATCCTCATGCAAAATCCCATAAATATAATAAAAACACATACTCAAATAGGTCATTTCAGTTTCAAACACAAATTCATAAAGATCATTCAAGCGATTAAGTTCACTCTACCCCACCACATTTTTTTCACTAATCAAAATCACTGTTAAGAAAGGCTACGAGCTCTGCATCACCGAAAGAACTTGTAAGTAGTATAAGTTGTGGTCACAGCAACAAGATATCACAGTGAACCCAAAAAAAAAAAAAAAAAAGCACTTCGCACATGTAGCAGTAATAAACACATAGTTGCATCGATCTGGCCAGGGTTTCTTCTGTTTTTTTCTTTCAGAAACAGAGACAGAAAATCAAGCGCCTCTCATATTTTCCTCCATAACTATTACTTCAGAGTTAAAATCAAATCACACCAAATCAAATCAAAGACGGACAAGTGAACCTTCGTTTGAAGACGGTTTGACCAGAAACTTCTTCTCTTTGTCACACGACGCAGTTTCAAGAATTAAACGGAATTTGGAACTCCGTTTACTGAATTCGTGGTGGTTTTTGAGTTAGAACAGAAAGTAAAAAAAAAAAAAAAGAACATGCACAGTAGTGTAGAGAAAGCGAAAAAAACGCAGAGAGAATGAAACGCGTTAAGAAGAACAATGCAATATGAGGGAGAGGCGCAAACACACCTGCAACTGGACGTGCACGAGATTCGAGGCAGTGGAAGGAGAAAGCAAGAAGGCTGAAATTGAAAATGGAACGAACGAGGCTTGGTGTCTCCGAACACCTATTTCAGAATGACAAAAAGAAGAAGGCGCGTGGGATTATTAATTAAAGGGAAAACAGATTATTTATTCCCTTTTGCTCCTTTTTCATTCCTCTATTACATCTAAAATAGTTTAGATTCCAATTAAGTTTTGACTCAAATTATTTAGGTTTTTGAAGAAAAAAACACATTTAAATAAATTTTTAATTAAATTCATTATAAATTCTACTAAAATAAAATTTAATATATAATATGAATAATTGAAATTTTAGAAACAGAATTTTTTCATTAATTTCATTTTAGAAAATTAATTTTTTTAATTTTATTAGAAAAATAAAATCGTTTTTAAGTACTTAGGTGATTTAGACATAAACAAAGAATTTTTAAATTATTACTTTTAATAAGAAAAAATAATAATATAGATCCAATCAAGAAAAAAAAATTGTCAGATTTTTTTATGTTTACAAAAGGTTAAATCTAAAATATTTTTTGATCACTTTAAGCAGCTACTACATTGAAATTGGTAGTTAATTTTAAATAATAATTTTTCAATTTAAGTATTATAATAATAGTATTGAAAATAAAGTAGGGAAATCACTCAATCTCGTACACTAGTTCCTTTCCTTTCAACAAACATGGAGTTGGTTTGTAATTTGTTCATTTGTGTTCTCAATAACATGAATAGAGTAGAGAGGAAAAAAATGAAAAAAAAAAAAACAGAAGTAAACTCGAAAAGCGAGTAACGAACCGACACCTTCATAAATCAACCGATAAATTATTTTTACAAAAAGGAAATACCATTAAAATCTGAACACCTTTATTACAACGTAGTATGTTTATTTATAATTTTGTCGTGTAACAAGACATTGTTAAATAATACCAATACTTTCCCTTCACACGCTTTTTGCTTTTACTTTTCTTACTTTTGACCACTCATTCATATTAGCATTAATGTCTCCCCTTTCATAGGTACATTGGAAGTATGTGTAAGTTTGTCACATGGCATTAATGTCTCCCCATTTTACTTTTATTTTTAATTTTGCAACACCCAAGTTGGTTCAGCAACTTGTATTGATATTAGAATGGAAATTGTTTGCCAATGTTTTTGACCTAACTCATAGTTTGAAAGAAAAGGGAAAAACAAAGTTTAATATCTGGCCAAATATCATGATGGAAAGTACACACTACACTATGCTTATAGAAAACCAAAAGGCAAAAGACTAAGTTCATTGATGATGAAAAGGAGCAGAAGATTGTCTTGTGCTAAGCTTTTAGGGGTATAAAATAATAATACTAAATGAGACATTGGAACTGTCACTTCGTTAATGCTTAAGATGGACGAAAGCAAAGAGACAATGTGACGGGAAATAGATTCACGGTTTCAGAGTTTGAAAGGGTGCATGGTGAGCATTGCAAAGTTAAGTTCTTCAGGTTCCAGGTTCCCTTCAACAATATTATATTGGGTTGGGAATATTCACCCAAAAAATAAATAAATAAATATTGGGTTCAGAATTCGGTGTTATATAAATATATATACCTAGCGTGTTTGGAGAGAACTGTCAATGGAATCGTGTGTGTGGAGGGTGGATAGCGTTAGTTGCGAAATTGTGTTTCCATTTTTACATTTATTTCCCACTTTAGTGTATTGAAGGTTGAAGTTGTCACTTTCGATTGGATTTTTTTTCTCTAGTTATTGGTTTAGATTCGTCAAATGTATACAAATTATGTTTGTGAAAATATTTACACTGTGCTTCATTTGAAAAAATAAAATAAATAGAGAAAAATATATATATAAATTTTAAAAAATAGATAAAATATAAGACTTTTTATTTATTTTAGTTTTACAATAATTAAAGTAACTTTTAGTATTTTAAAATAATTAAACTAACTTTTAGTATTTTCAAATTAAGTCATTCATCCTGTGAGTTTAACTGTTAATTCGTCAAACTTTTATTTATTTATATATATATATATATATATATATATATAATTTTTTTAAATATATTTTTTAAGACTTTTTTAAGATAATTTTTATCCAAATGTATCTAGGAATTTTGTTATTATATGATGAATAATTCATCCTATAAATATTTTTGGCGAATATATATGTAAAAGATCTCTATTATTAAAAGCTGAATATTGGATGGAATGATATTTAACTATAAAAGCGTTATATTATAAATTAATTTTATATTAAATTCTTATAATAACTATGCGAATATAAGGTATTTTTTTATTAACCATATATGAAATTTTCATGTGAAGTTTCTTCATAAAAGTATATATGTATAAAAAATGTGAACAAACATAAATATAATTGTGGGTGCATACACGTGTATTAGTAGGTTTAATCATAAATTGATACGAGAGCTATTCTATAAACAATTATATTGGAAATTTATCACGAGATTGTAACTACATTCACACATGTAGTATAGTGTAAAAAAAATATCAAAGTTTTTCTATGAGATACGTGGATGTACCCACATTAACGTAGCAGGGAGTAAAAATAGCATTAAAAGTTTGTTTACGAGATTGTAATGCATTGAATGTAAGAAACTGTAGTTCGATATATGGTCTAGAAGAAAATTGATACATGTAATTAAACAAAATTTCATCTTAATAACCCATAGATACTAAAGCCTTGTTTGGATTAAAAGGTGCGAGTTAATGGAAAATAATATATTTGAATGGAAAAAGAGACGTAGATGAAATTGTTTAGATACGGAAAAGATGATAAATAAATGTAGAGAAATAAGAGAAAAATTTATAAAAATATGTGAATGATTTTATTAATATGAGTAAAAAAAAGACATAATAAAAAATTAAAAATGAACATATCCTTAAATAAAAATTATTATTATTAATATAATTTAACATATTATAATCACTTTTTATTATAAATAAAATAATTATTATCTTTTAAATATATATATATATATATATTTAATATATTATTTAAATTAATATTTTTTAAATAAAATTTTTTAATAGAAATAATTTAATTTTAAAACTAATATTTATTTTAAAGCATAAATAAATTATGTAGTTTTAATAATAATAAAAAAATTACCAAATCAATTATATTATTTTTTATTTATTTAATCTTATATATTTTGAATGTGTTTAAATTAAGTATTTTAATAAAATGAAATATTTTACCTATTCTACATATATAAAATTATTAATAATAATCAATATATTATTTTACAAATCAACGTTCAATTTAAATAATAGATAAAAAATTGTATATGAATATTACAAAAAAATAATTAATTACCTTTCCCTAAAATAGATAAATTTAGTATAATATTTCATTTATAATTTTAGAAGTAATTTAAAAAATAAGAATTCTCTTTGTTATTATATACTCATATATCATACTATTAAATAGTTAAGATATCATTATTAAAATCAACTAAAATATTATTGATAATTTAATTTAAAAAATAAAATATTTTAATTAAAAAATATATTTATATAATTAAAAAATTTGCTAAATTATTATTAGTTTCGAAATTTATTGTATATAACGATTAATTTTTATCCTTAAATAATACAATTTGGTCGCAAGATTCGCCCTCAATTTCCATTAACATATAATTATTTTGGGTCACCAGACTTATCCTTCTATCAATAATTATTATTGAAAAAAATGAAAGTGAAAAATTAAGTGGATGATTAATATGTGTATATAAGGATATAAGTAAATTTGCAAAGAAAGTTGAGTAGATCCACATATTATACATTACCTACAATACATAAAAAAATGGGAAAGAAATTAACTTGAAAAATTTGTCTATATTATCTTTTTAATATATTTTTTTTAATTACCATATATATTAATAGTGTACCTCTAATAATAATTCACTTAGGTTTTCATAATCAATTATATAATTCAATATAATAATAATAATGATAGAATTTCAATTTTTCTTTCAGTTTTTGTATTATTTTTTATTTTTAATATTATATTTCTATGTTTTAAGTTTTATATATTTGTATACTTTGTTATATAATTCTTTTATAATTTTTTTCAACCCATTTAATATTGTTTTTTTAGATGAAAATATATATTTTTTCAATTTATGTACATAAAAAAATAAAATTGACAAGTTTTGGAAAATATATAAATATTATATTTTATCAAAATTGATAATTTTTTAAAATAATAAATGATTTTAAAATTAATATAATAGTTGTTAAAATTAAATTTTAGAATATCTAATTTTAAAAATAATTATAAATTTTTTAATAATGATATCATCAACATGAAGGTTGTAGTGTATTTTAATATTATTCAAAGGTTATGTTTTTTTTAAATAAATTTTGACAATTTAAAAAATAATTATAAATATTATTAAAGTAATAAAAAATAAAATTTTAATATATTTTTTTACTCCTCAAATCTACTCTTGATCCAACACATCATACATGTATTTGAAGATACACAAAACACACGTAAAGAGGAGTATATCATAACGTGCCAAATAATTGTATGCCAAGTGCCAACTGGCTCAGCTAACTGCTTACACACACGAAATTTACAGGAAGAAGCGTAAGTCGGCATATACAATGGCACAATCCCTATATCACGCCTTCCCCAGACCATAAAAACTTACCTAAGCATTCATTATTATTTAAGACATTGTGCTTTTGCGTGCCACCAAAGCGTGTCTTGTAGATAAGTTATACTTTGACAATTTTGTAAAGAATATAAAAAAATATTTTCATCACAAATAAAAATATGACGTAAATTTTACGTTTCAAAAAAACCACGTTCCCACGCATATGTGCTTGTAAAAGTTATAAGAATAGTAATTGTTGATATATCTAAAAAGTATGATTATATTTTAAATGAAAAATATAATAACATAATATTTTGGAGAAGATATGTTTAATAAATTTGAAATTTTAAAACAACGGAAATCTAAATGTTATTCATATCAATTTGAGAAGAGGAAAATTCTTAAATTTTGCAAAGTTATCGATATTATCAGAATAATCATAGTTAATATTGACAAGTATAATTATATTGTAAATGAAAAAATAATAGGAATATTTGGGAAAGATATGTTTAATTTAAAATTTAAAAACAACGCAAGACTTAACAAAAATTGCAAATTAGCGCCATTTATTGTGATATTATTCAGCTGAAATTAGCAGCAGCCATTTTTCGTATCTACAGTGGCAGTGCCAATAATAATAATAATAATACATGAACAAATAATAATGGATGAACAAACAGAAGCTTCACAGTTGGCTAAATCTAGTGTTGCCGTGTAGATAACCTCACATTCAATTACATGTATACACATAAATATGGAAGTAGGGGGAGATTAGTCCAAGAGATGACGACTATAATATTACTTTTGTCCTATTTCCATGGCTTCCAAGGTTGGGCTACGAAAAGGGTAGGGGGTAAAGTTATCACCGTTTCTCCTTGGTTCTTCATTCGTAACCCCTTCCTCCATGGCCTGCACAACGGGTGAGTCCCTGCTCGTGTTTGCATTGCCTCGTGATTCTTCCATTGCCCGGAAATATGCATGTGGACCCCATCCTGAAAAAGACAAGAACGTAGTCTAAAAGCAGCCCTCATGACTCAATGTTACGAACTACGATGTATGAATATTTGGACCACATGAAGTGCTGCTCATTAAACATAAATATGAAACATTTTCTGATCAGCAAAGGTGGTCCAACAACTACGGCAGCCACCTGGCATACCTCAAGGAGTGAACCAAATCAACCTGTATGGTGCTGAATTTATGCCGAATTTAATCAAACAAGTATAGTGCTGTCATACAACCCCTTTCCACCTCACTTAATTGGCTTTTTTGTTCAAAAAACAATCCAAATTGAGATATGAAAGTGATTTTTTAGAATTTCAGTCTACATGTCAAATTTTTAGATACACAAACTGAGAAATTTGTTGGTTTAATGTTCCGTTGGACATAGAAGAGAGAAATAAATTTAATGAAAATAAAATTCATGAGAGAAAAAATACGTAAAAATAAAAATGTATAATTAGAGTGAAATAAAAAATACAATAAATCTCAATATTTGTAAATATTGTTTTTCTTCTCTTACACTAAATAACCTACTTAATTTCATCATTTTCCATCTTCCTCATCTATTCGTAACCAAACATACCATAAGTTAGAGTATTTAAAGATAGGTGATTTTATAAAAGAGGATTTTCAATAAGTTTAAAACATTTACATCAGCCCATAAAAACTAAGCTACATGTTCACATTTAAAATTAGGCTTACAGCTTGTAAAGTTTAATTTGATTTTTCAATCCTATTTATAAAGTACAATTTAATATACTCGTAGAAATCAAAACATTAGTAATGAATCAATGATAGATTGGGTATAATTGCAAAATCAAAACCTTGGATAAATCAAGACATAAACGAACACTTGTCTTGCTGCTTGTGATAATAATCAAAGTTACGGGTGTTACCGTGGTTGCTGCAGGGAGCAGGGAAGAACTGCATATAGCAAAAGGTTGCCACAACTAGCCCTGAAAGAAACATCATACAGTATAAGATGAGTTTCACTTTATTTTTTGCAAAATGTCTCTGATATTTGATACTTGGCTGTTCCCTGTGGTTAATCCTTTTACAACATTTTTGTAGTCAATGAAAACAAACCTATAAGTCCTCCAGCAAACACATCTTGCCAATGATGCCAATAGTCATCCACGCGAGAGATTCCAACCAGGCAAGCAAGAAGAAGAGGAAGAAAAACAATGCATAATTTTGCGACGTGCCCTTTGTGATCAAAAGCTTTAATCTTTCCCGATAGGTACAGAGAGAGAAAACCAAGACCCGCAAAGGACCCTGCAGAGCAAAATTTATCAGAAAGAGGTCCACACGGTAAACTATTTTTTGTACAAATGAGTTAGTAATCCGATGAATAAATTAATTTTATGATAAGCTTGGTTTGAATAATGTGCAACACATTTCCCGCACTTCAAAACACTCTTCCTATGATTAAAAGCAACGTTGCTTTAGCTAAATATATCATGCTTCTAATATGTTCACCTAATTAATGTGATAAGAGAAATATAATGCAATGCTAATGCATTGTTATTTACAATTGCTCCCACTAAAGCAAGCATGAAAAAAAGGGGACCGCCCAGCACCACGGAAATCGAAAAAAGTTACGTCCACTAAGTGTTGCAGGTGTTAGTCTAAGTGTACCTTAAGTAAGAATAAGTAAATTTTACTAATTTTAAAAGATTTTTGGTCAATAGTTAGAGAAATCTCTTATGTGTAATGCTCATATTTTATTGTTTTTTTTTCTTAATTTTTTAAAAAAATCTTAAATGATATTAGATATGATGATTTGTATGATTAACAATTTAAAAGTATTTCATTGTAATAAATGGCTTTATAAACCAGACTCACTAATTAACTTGAGGGATATATGATCAATGTGAAGAGATTTATAATTCAGGAGAAATTAAAAAAAAATGTAACATACTACTTAATATAAAAAAAATATTTATAACTAGATACTTTAATATTTTAAACGAGAGTCATACCAATTATTTATAAGAATGAATTCAAGATGTATTTCTTTGTAAATTTCTCAAAACATGCTTAAGATATATACTGTAATCATCTACGTAGCATTAGACTAGATTTTCAAAGCTATTGAATCAGCATTGTGTTTCTCGAAAACCAGCATTGTGCTTAATTAGTATTGAGTGTTATTATGAGAAATATGGAAGCAGTTATAAATTTCATACTAAAAACTAAAACAAGCTATTGAATCAAAGTTTTGTACAAATAATATTGATGCTCACATGATGTATGACCGCTTGGGAAACTCTTGTGTCCTTCTTTTATATCGCTCTGCTTGCCATGACATACCACACCTCCCCATTTATCATAATTCTGTAAGGTTATCATCAAAGAATAAACGATTAATAATGAGTGCTTTCTTCTGCGGTTACCCATTCTGCATAAAAGGTCAGGTATACTTTTCTAGAAGAATCTTACAGTTCTTATCCACATGACAGACAAAAGCATCAGTGGCTTTAGAACATGTTTTCACAAGAGATGCAACCCCCTGACAGTCTTATTATTCATATTATTTTCTTACTTTTGCCTCCAATAATTTTTATTTTTTTTAATAACACTTTTTATTTTAAATAAAATATATTTTTAAAATGCATCTATTTGTAGTACTTTCACAGTTAAATAAGAAATGTTAAAAGAAATAAAAGATATAGAAAAACTATTTTGTTTTATATCATATTAATTTTTTCTTTTAAATAAAATAATTTTAAAAATACATATATTAATTATACTTATTTATTTACATGTAATTTAATGGAAAATTTATCACTTAAATGATGTTATAAAAACAAAAATACAAATTTTATGAATGACCAAAACAAGAAATAAAGTTACAATAGAATCAATAATACATCTATATTTTTAAAAGTTATTTTGCTTGAAGAAAAAAAAATAGACAATCAATTTGATTAAAGTGTTGTTCTTCTACCCTGTTGTTTCCTTTCGATCAAGGTTTAAAATCTTTTTCTTTCAATATTCTTTGTTTAACTATGAAATCCAATTTTTTTTTAAAGAAAATTTAATAAAAAATATTATACTTATTCATCCTCTTTAATTTTCAAAAAATATATATATTATATCAGCGGACCATACTCCCCAATTTTTTTATATATATAATTTTTTTTAATTTTCGCTTATAATATATTCTCTTACATAATTTTTCACTAATCCTTTTATTTTTTTATCTTCAGCTTTTATTTTTTATTTTTTCATTTTTTTTATTTTTTCACTTCAACTTTTTATCACTTTGTATTCTTATATTTTATCTTTTTATTTATTACTAGTCCACTTTAGTATTATTCTCTCTCATGGTTTCACTTTACAAAATAAATTTTGTAATTTTTTTTTTACAATTTCATCTCTAATAATATAAAAATTATAATTTTTATTTCTTTATTTTTTTGAAAAAATAAAAAAATAAAAAAGATATTTCATAATAATTTATAGAAAAAGTAAACAAAATTATTTTCATTATTATTTTTATTTATTATTATAATAAATTAGTATATGCATTATAGTATAAAAATATTAAAAAAATTATATAAATTTTTTATTTGTTATAAATTAATTAATTATTATAATATTTTATGATTTTTTATTTTGATATTAAAATATAAATATAATAAATTCATGAAAATGTTTAAAGATGTAAAAACAAATTATAGATTTTTTTAAAATATTAAAATAAACTTTATTTTCTAAAATTTAAATTTAATTAATAATATTAAATATATTGATTAACATTTTGTATAATATATTTTTTATAATTTAAATTAGTAAATTCATAAATGTTAATAGATAATATCAAATCATCAAAATAATTTATAATTATATTTGTATAGAAGAAAGGTTAATGAAACTTTATAAATTATAAATATTTATAGAATTTATTTATAACAAAAACTATAAAAAAGAAATAAAATATTTATCTACAAAAATTTAAATGCTATTATATTTACAATAAAAATTATAACAAAATTTATGACAAAAGAAATAATTAAATAATATTTGGTGGTTTATAGTTTTATTATTACTAATTACACCTTCATGTACCATGTCAGCCTATTGAAATCAACACATATTTAAATTATGTAAACAAATAAAATAAATATAATTTAAAAGTTAAATTATCTAAGATTATTTTTAAAAGGATTCGCAAACAATAATTATTTATAAATAAAAATAAATACTTTAATATAAATATTGTATAAAAGTTATTTAAAATTAAAAAAATAATTAAAATTAAACAACATTATTTATATAAATATTTTATATGATTAAATTTATAATAAAATAATTATTTTTGTCACTTATCACTCACTAACCCTCTATTCTTAATAAATCAAATAAAAATAAATATTTTATTATGAGTATTAAGTTGTTTAAAAAAAATTATTTAAAATTAAAAAAAATAATTAAATAAATAATTTTAATTATATTTTAAAGAATTTCATTGTTATACTTGTAATAAAATATTTAATTTTATTCTTAAATAACTTTAATTAAAAATTTCGTTTGTGATGGTTGCGCCTAATTTAAGTCGTGTCTCACAGAGCATTGATTGTTTTATTTTTAAATTTCTTATACTTGGAATATTGGATTGGGTCAATCCTTTATTTAGTGTAAGTTGCGTACCTCCACTCCGTCGGGGAAGCAACGCCAAAAGAAGTCTGGCCGAGGCCGGCCAACTGCATTTTTTATTGAATCGGTTAAGACTCCAGTGATCAGAACAGCAAATAACAAACCTGTAAGCAATGAAGCACATTAAGACCAATTCACCATTTTTTTCAACTAAGAGATCCATAATAATACAAACGCACATGCGTTTGTTGAACTTCATATATATATTCAACAAAACTTCCAAAATCTATATATCTTTATGAAATAGAATTCCAAGACTTTACTTAATTATTTAACAATATTATCAGATTGAAAATATTTACACAGCCACCTTTTTTTTTTAATTTACTTCGTATATTTAAACAAGATTAGTAGACTAACAAGTGAAATTACATAAAACTGTATATCTATTTAAAGTTTACAACATCTATTCCTATTGAAAAAAAAAATACGATTAAGCATAATATACCCGAGATTTGAGTATAATATTTTAAAACAATTAAAAGAAGACGATTTAAGAGTCGCATAACAAATTTTGACAATTCATTTTCTTCCTCAAAATCAACTTTATATTGTTCCATTGTCTTCATTGAATGAGTTGGTTTCAAAGATTAAATCAAAACAAAATAAACAATCAGATCTTGGTCTAAATATATAAATGGCTTCACTTATATACATTACAAAGTCAAAAGGTTACCTAGAACACTGTGGTGTAAATCATATACATCTCTCCTGCGCATATAAAAGAGAAGGAAAACGGCCATTGGCAACAGAACCGCATATAACTGGTCATTAGAAGAAGAAAAAATAATTAGTTAAAATTAATAGCATCAAATAAAAATAAGCTATAAGCTAGCTCATAAGAAGACGTGTGGGAAGCACATAGGAGCCTCTCAGTATTTTCTATTATCTATATGAACAAATTTCCCAAGAACGTGATAAGAAGGAGAACATATTTTATAACGAAACAATTAAATAGTAGAATTAAGAAGATATAAAAATGAGCCCAAAAGCAGACAAAAGATCCCATAGATTAGGGAACAACCTAGAGAACTTTTACTTCAAATTGTGCAGTAAAAAAAGTAGTAAACACTTACAGGAACAGCCCAAATGGGCACCGTGTTTTCTTTCAAAGGATATTTAAGGTCTTCCATCATGTCCCTTCCCACAAAGCGATAAAATGGATTAATGACAAAAAGGACAACGTCTATAACTATGAGAAGTAACAAAACAAGCCAATCGCGAGCGTGATTTCTTGCAAGTGCGGCTCCATGGGATTTGATAGTATGAGCCGAGGGATCAACCTGCTGCCTCATCCCTCCCTGTCCCTCCCGTAATGAACAATTAGGAAATTAAACATCTAATTAATTGAGAGAGTAAAGTTGAGTAAGAAATTATTGGCACTGCACATGCATACATACTAGCTAGTTGACAAGGCAGTACATCATTATTATCAGTTGGAAGCCGTTTTCCACCACACACATGATTGTTTTTTTCAAACTTATGATACAACTACCTCCAACAGATAGGGCACAAATCTGGCTGGCAAAAGTCATGGTTTTAAATAATGGTTTACAATATCATATTTACAATTTACAACGACTTCAATTTTTTTTTTAATTAAAACTCAGTTATATATTGCCTACATTAGTATATAATTCGTGTATCAAGGTTTTTGAAGTTACCATAGACCTTGGATAAAATTAATTTTCGATGACTTTCAAAAACAAAATAATGATTTCCTAAACGTATTTATCGTTTGAAATGGTTAATGGTGCACAAAGTTTTACCAGAGTTGTTGGCTAAATTGAAATACTACAGTGCGAGACGAAGAATTTTGTAAAATTGAGCAAAAATAATTTATGATATTTTTCTGCATTCTCCTTAATATAATTTTCATAGCATCCTCTCGCAGTCAAATCTTATTCCATTTTACTGGATTACTAATGAGTTTTTTGTTTTCAGATATTTGAGGATAAAAAAAAATAAAACTAAACAGAGTGCTGCACTGCATAGAAGAAAGGGAAACGAGACGTAGAAACGGAGAGAGTAAGACAGTTAAAACCTGAAATGATGCGCAAAATGCTTGGAAAGAAAAGAAACCCCGCGACCCCGACGCCATGGCAGAGAATTTACGAGAGCGCAGCGACTAAACTGTGATCATAATCATCATCATTCACACAAATGAAAAGAAGTATGAAATTAAGGGAACAATGAGAGGAAGGGAGATAGAGAAGTCTTATCCCAAACAGAGAAACGGAGAAAATAAAAATGTAAAAAAATTATGGAGAAACGAATTAGAGTGTAATTGGGGAAATATCAACTTCTTCTGTCCGTTACCTTTTGAAAAGTCTCAATTTCTGAAGTGAGGGAAAAAAAATATTGAAAAATTTGTCGAGATATTATTCGCTTGGTGTTATGGAGCGGTTCGTGTTCAATCCAATTTCTAGATCCGAAGTAACAAACTCGTTTTCTTTTTCTAAATAAAGTTGATTTTTAATTAATTTAATTAAATATACTGATATAAATTATTTTTTTAAATTACTATTATAAAAGTTAATAATTTCGTTGCAATCGACCATTTTTAAAATTTTTGCTTTTGCATTGTAAAGTCTGAATATCAATAAAGAAGAAAGTTCATATTCAAAAGTAGATAAGTCAAGGTAACATGAATATGTACAATTGATTAAGATATTTTAGTTTAATAATGAAATGATTAAAATTGTTGATTTTAAGTTGTAGATAAAACGTCGGCGTCACCCATTGCAAGGGGTCCGTCCAAGTTAATCTAGCGATTAAAGGTTGCACAGCACAACCTTTCCATATGGGACCACTATAATATATGCATTAATGTCAACTTTTGGAGTATTATAAAATTCAAATAATATCAATTATTTTTATTAGAATCATATTTCAATACGAACATTATTCAAATATAAATTTAAATATGCAATGGCAGCAGGTCAAATAATCTTGCTCACGAATTAATGGTGTCATTATAGAAGGGCTTCTGTACCAACGTGAGAAGTAGGGAGCTTGAAAATAAATAGCCATGCGGTTTCAATTTTGCTTTTGACTCAAATTATTCCATGGCTACATGAACCATTCCACCAAAAAAAAAAAAAAAACTATTTGAATTTTTTTTATTATTAAAGTAGTCGCAAAAGGATTATTTTCCAACCCAAAATAACAAAATCAGCTGCAAAAGTTTGAAATGACACCCTCGACCTCACAAAAATAAATGTCAGTAAATGGAGGCTTAGTGCTGACCTTTCTTTGTCGTCCACTTGTTCTAGATTGACCATTGCCAAGATATTTTCTTTCTGCTTAAACACATGTTGATTGTGGGAGCTGTCAATTTCTAACCCCAATTATCTTCACTAACCAACATGGTTTAGTGCTTCCCTATCTATCCATTATGTTAGAACAGCCTTTCATTGTTTTAGGACGTTGATTAGGAAAAATGAAATGGAGAATTTTTTATCTTTATTTTTTATATGGATGAATGGGTTAAAAAGGTTGTGGGGTCAGTATATTTCTAATATTTATTATACCCATTTATTTAAATTCATAACACCACCTCTGTAGAGTTAAATTTAACCAATTTCTTAGAACATAATTAATAATATATTGAACTATAATTATTATAATCAATTATGTTAAATATATAAAACCGTTTATGGCTGACTTTTTCTTTTGTATGTTTTCTTTTTTCACATTCTACAATTTTATGTGATATCTAACTTGCACTCTTCTATTAGAGTTTGAGTTTCAAATAATATTTGTTTAGATTTGTCTTCATTTTTAGCCGAAGTTCTTCTGGGTTCAATTTTTTTTAACCCCCAGAGTTTGGTTCATTGCTAAATTACGCAATTGGGCTTTGTTGAAGATGAAGATATGAATCTTGATCACAAGATCGGCCCAAAGCAGTTATGAATTATTGTTGCAACTTCAGTGGATTGGGTAGTTATTGTTATGTATATTTTTTTGGACTTGGACAATATTATTTTTTTTAGTTACATATATAGATATAAGAAAAAAAATAGAAAGGACATTTGCAGAATTACAATAAAGAATGTTGAAAACCAAGAAGACAAGGAAGACGAAACCAAAACAGGGGACAAGTACCAACTGCTATCTGAATTCAGTTTTTATTTTATTTTTTTATTCTTTTTTAAGTAATAAATTTGAATGATTTGCGAATTTGTGAACATATCTGACCTGAATTTCTGTTTGGCAGCTTTTGTTGACGTGGGTTTGTTTTGGTTTACTTTTTATGGGTACAGGAGTGGAAGGTTTTCTGATGATCAAGATTACAATTTTTTAAAATGTAGAAACTAAGAAAGCGTTGTTGAAAACAATATATTTTTTAACTTATTGTGGTATTTTGGTTTGAGTTTCAAACTGGTTGAATCAGACAAATACCTCGTAACTAGTAGAAATACAAATGTAATATTGAAAAGTTCGAAGTGTAGCTTGGAAATTTGGAGGCCCTATGATTGTGCAGTGATCATGGTCCTCATTGATCTTGCAGAGATAATAAACGTAGAAATGTTAAAAGCATATTCAGCAAAACCATTGTCCATAAAACAAAAGGTTCGTGAACATTTCTCCTTTTCATTCATTGTGTTCCCAAATTCTCATCTCTTATTCTTTTGCAAGATTTTATCCCTACATAACCATCCAATGAATCTTAAAAATCGTGATCCATTAATGGATGGTTCCTAAGCATTGCCTTTTTACTAAATTAGTCAAACAAGTTGTTCTTTAAAAAAAAAAAAACATTTATATCAATCAGTATGAGAGATTCTCTTTATCATGAAAACACTGTTTCCAAAATATTGTTTCAAAAATTAACATTAATATTTCTTTATATTGAGTTGAGAATAGGAGGGAGATAAATTTGGGAACAAAAAAATCACCAATGAATAATTAAGAATCAGCTATACACATCAACCTAGAGAAAGAGATGCAAACGGTGTCTTAGAAGAACTCTAAACTCAAACAAAAACGATTGTTTTTAAGTTAAACAGATTTTCTGTATCAGGTTTCACTGAATGAAAGCATGTTGGAGTTTAATAAGAAAGGATTAATGTAGGTTGGGGACAACCTGGGGCTCTGAAAAGTAAAAAACGAAACGGGGGTCTCCCTAAGGTTGGATTGGGTGCTTGGTAAAGTGAAGCCCAATCCACCCTAAAACTTGATGCCTGTTCCTTAAAGACAACACACTTCGTCTTCTACTATTTCGGACACATTGCACTCTTACCTTTATCTTCCCACTACCCTTCCTTGCAACACCATTATTCCATTTCAACCTTCCAAATCAAACCACCTTTTTCGGATTATGTTGTTTTTAAAACATTTACAACTTTCGATGAATCAGTTTTAGCTTACAAAACAAAACAACTATGTTAGGAATTATCTCTGGCAATACGCTATGAAACCTGCAACATTGAATAATTAGGTTATCCTAGTCAATAAACAATCACCTTTACATGAAATTTTAGTGAGAAACAACCTCAACATAGGAGTAGTGTCATCATTGGCCTAATATTCACTATATTAAGCCCTAAAAAAACAGTAAAACAGTCATAATGGAGGCATGGAAATGTTTCATGGCATTGCAACGGAAATTCCAAAGGAAGTTGGGATAGTGGGGCCATTTGATGAAAAGACTAGTGGTTTTGTCTTAGCGTGGCATTAATAGGGCGAATATTCAATTTTTGTAGGCTTTAGTAGCCTCAACACATCACATTGCAAATTTACTCCAATTCTTTCCCTAATTCGGCTGTAACACAAGATCATTACTATCATTTTTATCTTGACCACAACCCTTCAATCATGGTAAACCATACTTTCTTCTTTTGCATTTTGTCGCTAATATTATATTATATTCTTCAAGATTTATCGTGTCCCCGTGTAGAGACATAGTTTCCCAACTACTTTTTCTCAAACCCACATTACAGATTATATTTTTAAATACTTCTTATTCAAATTTATAATAAAGTAAAATATCACATTTTTAAGTAAAAGTTATACTTCTAATATGTTAATTGATATAACGGTTATATATATATATATATATATATATATATATATATATATAATGCTATTTTAAGAAAATTTGTAATGAAAAAATAAATGTACTATTAAGACCGCATGTCATTTGGTGTTTAATGAAGTTGATATTTGATTATTTACTGGGTTCTGTGATATGTGATATATAAGCTCAGATAATATACAAAACATTAGAAAAAAAAAACTTAATAAATAATTAAAAATAAAAAGGTGAATAAATATAAGAATCTATCATTTT